TTATACCCCCCCCCCCCTCCCCCTTCCTTCCTCAAACACAACACGTGGCAAACCAACAACGTTCTGGCCTGGGTTCGACTGCGCCGCCATGAACGTCCTGATTTTTACATGCTGCCTGAAAATCAAATTGTGACGGGAAAAAGCCAAAAAGAACCAAAATCTGACGTAGGTAGTAATTTCGCAGGGAATTACGAGCTTGGCTTTTTGAATGGTGCGCTACGGCTTACCCTTGTACATTGGCTGTAATAATTTTCAGCGATAAGAATGTAAGATGGCTCAGACAGCTAACAACTCGAAAATCTGTGCCAAGGGGGACCGCCTACGTTTAGTCGCGGACCTGAAAAGAAAGTAAAGAAGAAACTTCGAAAGAAACAAACAGCATCTGCACAAGTCCAATGTAATTGCGTCCATCATCACAACCCTCTGAAGAGTTCATTTGCCAGGAGGTAGTCTCTGTATCTATAAAGGGACTTCGGTGATACCTTGACAGAACAAATTTTCTGAAGGACAAAGTTATAAAATTAGTGTTGCATGGCTTGACATCATAGCGACTGTACCTTTTACGACATACTGATTGTAATGAGCAGAGGACTCCTGTTTCTTGCTGTAGAAAGAAAGTATTGCAATGAACTGCTTTTAAAATTGGTCAACTGGAATGTTGAAGAAAGTAAGAAAATTTTAGAGTTTTTGGTCTCCAAAACATTTGACGGCGAATGAAAGAATTAATTAAAGACTTTATTAAAGTGTCAAATGGGATTTAACTTGTAAAAAAATAATTGGGGACACTATTTACCCATTGAAATATATCTACTAAGCGATAGTGGGAGATATTCGTTCTCCAGCTGTGGCAAGAATCGAATTCCGGGCAGGGGCGAAAACTCCACAAGCACTGACCTATCTCTGAAAAATATGGGGAGGATCTGGGGGGGTGGGGGGGTTCAGAGGTTCGATCGAACCTCCCAAATCGAACCCCTAAATTAAAACAGCTAACGTCTTAGAGCTTGTAAGGTTATCCTGATAAATGCATCCAATTCTAAATGGAATGAATACTACAACGTTTTCTGAATAAATACAAATTACTTGGCCTCAGAATACCAGAAAACCCATTTCCGAGGACCTCGATTTTAAAAAAATTCCGGAACAGGCTGCCCCCGGACCCCCTACAGGGAGCTACATTCAGCGGTTCGTATTTCGAACCCCATCTCTTAAATCCTGTATCCGCCCCACATGAAGGTATATTAACTGCAAAAACTTTTACAATTGTTCGGATCACAAATTAGCGATAAAAATCATCGAATCGGCTTTTTTTTTTCTTATGTTCCGAAGGCATCCTCAAGTACGCAGAAGCAAAAAAGGCGGGAAAGGGTAAAATGGGCTGGGAAAGATAGCCTGTTCCTGCTTGTTGCCCGCACGCTTTTGCGATCGCCCCAGTGACTGAGAACCTAAAACAGGCTATGGGAAGGACGCTTGTACGTCGTAAAGGCCTCGTCCCTTACTCGCTAATTTGGGGAAAAATGATCGAACAGCAAGTTTTACTCAAGTTTTAATCAGTTGAACCCTGAGCCAACTGTCACCTTTCTGCGACTGCCGCTTTTTTGACGGTACATGTATTCACTCTTATTTTAATTAAACTCTGCAAAGTACCGCCTCTCCATCTGAATGGCAACGGCCACCAGACAACTCTTGACAGCTTTCTTTGACGAAAAGTAAATTAATCGATTTTGTCTCCACTCCACAACAAATAACAACACAGCAACGCTGAACCAAATAAGTTTAGTTTGGGAGGGCCTGGCGAGAACCAACCCGAACACTATATAACACAATTTACAATTTACATGACAAATCCTTGAAAAGCAACCAAGGATAAAGCTCTCTCCACACGTACAAGTCATTTGCTGGAGCCAGTAGGGCTGGTGGGCCACAACACTTTAATTAATACACAAAATATATGGCCTACTTCTCCGAATAAGCAATTAGTCTTGGTACCAGTTAGGCTGGGGGACATCAGCTCCATCATTACATTTGACTATAAGATAAACAGGCCATCTTGGCCTACTTCCCCAAATAAGCTCTCATTACAAGCCTTGTGCCGGTTAGGCTGCCAGTTAGGCTGGGGAACATCAACTCTGACATAACGTTCAACTATAATATAAACAGGTCATCTTGGCCTACATCCCCTTATAAGCTCTCAAGCTTTGTGCCAGTCAGGCTGCCAGTTAGGCTGGGGATCATCAACTCCGACGTACAATATAAATAAAATACAATATAAACCTA